TTATTCAGAAGAAAACAAAGGAAAGAAGAATGACATAGAGAAAGTCAAAAGCATAAACACAAAGATCAGAAAGCAGGAAAACAACCAATGTGAAGCAAACATGTTTCAGCTCCTTATTCTTGAAACTGTTCCGTAAACTTAGAATGTATACTAATTGCTTCAATTTTGTAAGGTTTTTTTTTTTAGTTTTACGTATTTCAGAAACCTGATAGCAGTGTAGCCTTTGAGCATTTCCTTGCTATGCAGGAATGTGGGTTATCTACCATATCTAAAACTAGGCAGTACATTTTTTTATAAAATAAGCGGCCACAGACTGATACAGCATCTGCCAGAGAAAAATGAAAATGTGTCACTTAAAAATAGCCCCCAAAATTGTGATTGTTAAATTTATATTACTGAAGTGGTATTTTAAAACTTGGTAAAATCGTAGAAATGAAATTCTAAAGTGCGTGTAGAGTTAATGCACCTAATGTTCACACCAGTAACTTCCACCAGCAGAGTGTAAAACTTTGGAAAATAACTCTGAAGAAAGCAAAGAAATGCATAGCTTTAGAGCTGTTTCCTTTTAAGATGATTAACTCAGCCTGAATTCATGTCTGATTTTGCTAAATAAGTTGCCCAGAGGTTGCTGCAGCAAATATAGTTGTGTATTGAGAAATGCTTTTCGTTCAGTTGTCATTTATTCTTAAGTGTTTAATGAGTTCCTAACTGTCATAGGTAAAATAAAAACTTAAATTTGGAAAACCTCACATTTCTTTTACATTAAAAATGGAAAAGGGGAAAAAGCAAGTAATTTTAAAGAGTAATTAATAAAGTAATTCCACAGAATCACAGAATGGGCCTGGTTGGAAGGGATCTCAAGGATCATGAATCTCCAACCCTTTTGCCACAGGTTCCACCCAGATCTTGACTGCCTCGTATTTTTACCTTTGTAAATACAATTTGGAATACAATTAATTTTTGTTATTTGTTGTTGGGACGCAAGTTGCAAGAGAGAAATTGATCTGTTATGCTACCCTGAATATTACCGAGCGTGATGCTGAGTGCCGTGAGATGAAGTGCTCTCAGCTCCAGAAGGACAACTGAAGGGGAGTGTAGGAGAAACACAAGCTCTGGTAAAGATGCAGCAATGGTTTTCTAGCTGGTAGCGAATCAGAGAGGGAAAACGTGTGGAAAACTGTGCAATATGTATTCATTATACAAGTAGAACCTTCAAAAATTGCTAGTAATCAGTTTAGAATATAAAGAAAATGCAAAATAAAAAAAAAAAAAATGGGCAGACTGGGGAGGGAATATATTGTTATTAGTCAGGAAGTGAAATGCAGTATGGATTCCTGGGGCAGGACTGAAGCTAAGGTGGCCAGAAATCATATCAGCAGCCGTATCTTTAGCCACTTTTGGAATACAACGAAGGGTAGAAAGGAGTTGTACTTAACTGAATCTACAACAGAATTTGGTTTTGAAAATCTGAGGTAGTTTAGCAGCTGTCAAATAAAACAAACTAACTTGGAGTAAATGAAAATAACTATGGATAATTGCAGAGCTCAAACTATCCAGCTAGGCAGCATCTCAGCTGAAAAAGATGAAGATCTATAAAGCAGGTGGCTGCATGCAGCTGCCAAACATCATCTTAACCTCATTAGTAGTCAGTAAAGCAACATCAGAAAAGCAAGTTGCAGATGGCAGCAAAGGAAAGGCGTGTAAGAAGTAACAAAAAGAGTCCTTTAGTGTCTACCCTTCCTTGCAAAGTAAAGCAATTTAGTGTAAATGTCTGAGTATACGAGGAGGCAAAAGATTGTTGTGGGTAATTAAGGTAGTTTTGAGAGGAGAACTCTTTCTGGATAACACTAGTGAAAAGCAGCTGCAAGTTTGCTTTCATTATAAGCACAAATGAGTAGGAATGGTGATTTTTATTATGAATTATAATTCTGTTTTGTTGAAATAGAATACTGTTCCTCTCTCACAGAAGACTTTCCTAGTTGGGCTCCACTGTTGTCTTTTCTGTTTTTTTTTTTCTCACAGCAACTTGCTCCTGTTAAAGCCCGTTAATCTGCTAAACCTGTTCTTCCTAGGATATATTTATGGTAATCCTCATTCCTCAGCTCCATCATATACAGAAAAGTGAGTCTTTTCCCATGTGAGGTGACCAATTTAAAGTTACTTATATGCTAATTATCAGGTTTATGGCTTGTCTGCCTTCTGGATGCCTGTCAGTATGGATAGGAACTGAATTTTAACTGCTGTTCCCTAAATAAGTTACAAAAGTTTGTCTGGCTTTTTTGTCCAACCACAGTTTTTAATCACCGTGTAGGAATTGTATAGTGTTGTCATCTCTATCTGACAAATTTGGCTGAAATTAACTCAGCAGCCGAAGTTGGAGAGATGATTTGGTGGAGAGGGGAAAGGAGTTATGGATAAGTATGTTAGAACAGTGCGTGGTTAATGATGCGATCATATAACATTATTTGGGGAAATTGGATGAAAGTATCTGGTCTGTACTGTCTGTGTGGTGACACAGCAGTCACCTCAGGGAGGTTTGAGGATTCTTGAGGAAGTTGGATCTGCAAAGAAATTGGAAGGATTGAGCAGCTACGAAATAATAAAGCTTTTCTTTATAAATTTGAGTTCCTCAAGGAGAGCTCTGATAACATTATGTATATGTGAACAGTATTGATTGAATGGAGTACTCTTCTTCACTTAAAAGATGGGTCAAGATTTTCTCATAGATGGGTCAAGGGCTTAAGTGGGCACGATACCAGAATAGTTTGTTCTGAATAATCTCTCCTACAAGACTGGAAGTTATAAGTGTCCCTTTATTCTGTCATCATCCATGCTTTGTCAGTGATACCTGTCACTTGAAGTTGCCGGAGAGGACAGCAGTGATCTTACATCCTGTGAGTCACTGTGAGTTAGTAAATCAAACATTGGCTTTGGTGGATCTTGTCATTTCTGCTTTTAAGGATAGTTGGATACTGGCATAATTGATACAAAAAGTAGCTCTGGTGTTGCGGTCTCAAATGGAAAAGTAGAACAACCTGCAGCATGACTAACTTTTTAACTGAACAGCTCTTCCTAAAAGTTTTCTAGAAGAAAACTTTGCAAGAGAATTTTGATGCTTTTAAACTTTTGGATTTTATACACAGAAGTTGTTAAGGCTTTAGAAAGGTTTTGTTTGCTCACTTGATTCTGAGTCTTAGAATACATTTCCAGCTGAGGATTAGAACTATTTATATTGAAGTGTAATCTTGGTTAAATTAATAAATCTGAGAAAACCTGAAGTGTTCATGAACTAGATTGAATTAATTGACTCTTCCAGCTGGAAAGATTGGTTTAGAAAAATCTGAATGCAATAAAATAAAACATTCAACCCGCCAATGGGCACATAGGTCTCTGATCAGTATTCCGAATTAGGAGAAAAACATAATGGCTTTTTGGAATAATGAAAGCTGGTATAATGTTTCTGACCTATTCAAATATGTGTTGCATCTATCTGTAATATATATAAGTAAACAATACAATGTTGTTAGTGTTTAATACAATGTAGTTAGCATTTATTTGAAAGTTGAGATAGCTCTTTTGCACAATACAGATATTTTTTGTAAGGAATAGAAAGAGAAAAATGTAAGGCAAAGCACAGTCGAAGCATTTAGAACAGGTTTCTTCAACCATTTCCTTAATGTAACGCTATTCTTTTTTTCAGTCATTTTCAAAGGAGAGAGAGAAAAAAATCGAAGTGTGCATGTTTCTGTGCATACATATGCATGTATGTCAGAGAGCTGAATTTCAGACTTTGTTGCCCAGTTGGCTTGATCTTGAACTCTTACAGAAGATTTAACAGGAATTGGCAAGAAGCATAGAAGCATAATCAGTTAGAGTATAACAGAGAAAGTATGTGGTTAAGTACTTTCTTGGCAGTGTGTTGCCATTTTTTTATCCATTCAGCAAATGTAATTTATTTATACATCTGTCAATAAATATGAGGTGGCATCCAGTAATGAGGACAGAAGGGATTTAAGCTGGAGTACGTTGCTATGTTTGACACAAAGGTCAAACCTGGAAAAGGGACTTGAAATTAACATTTCTTGAAAACTACTTTTCCATCCACTGAGGTTATCTCTTAATTCCAGCAGTCTTCTCATTTTGATAAGCAGGGAGAGCATATATTTTGATAATATGAAGGAGGGAGGAGGTGATGAAACTTTAACACACAAAAAAAAGGAAAAAAAAAAGTCAGCTGACATTGTGTTCTGCTGATAAGAATGGGACTTTGTACAGCACAGAAGAGATTACAGGCAGTAGAATTGGGACGCAAATTGTGTTTACAAAAGATGGCATGATTTTCCTAATAGGTGTTCAAAGCAGGCTATTCACTCACGTATTCTGCTGAGCTTGGCCAGAAATAGCTTCATTTTAAAAGGACAAATATGATTGAAGGTTAGAAGCATTTCCCTCTCAGAGATACTTGTCTGAAGGGTTTGCATTAAATTTTCTTGATGATGGGAGCACTGTACTATTTTATTCTGCATCTGTATGAACTGGTAATATGGAAAATAAAGATACAAATAGTGTACTTGATTGTTTTGTGTTTTGAACACTTGAATTACTAGATTTACATCTGCTATTATGGAAGAGGTGTCACAATATAATTTAGCAATAGTTGTCACAATTTTACTAACAAAATATAAATTCAACTTATTCTTGAAATGAAGGTACTGAAACTAAGTTTTAGGCACCACGTGCATCTTCCTGTGGTTTTATCTTGGTTTTTAATATGACATGGTTATTTTAAAAGAACTATAGCATGTCTAAATTCTTTCAGTTATTAGTAGAATACACAAGTCAAAGATGAAACGTGCTGCAAAGTTACTTGAAGTATTACACGCATCTGTTAGGAAAGGTGATATTTGCCTTGTTGTAGTAAATATCAACAAAATGCAAAGTTCTGTGTTGCATGTGTGTGCTACTTCTGGATCCTTTACATTTTTTCTTCCTCTGTGTAGATCCTGGAATTGGTGAAGGGCATGCATTACCAGCTGGCCTGTCAGAAGTACTTTGAATTGACACATGATGTAAGTAGCTAGTAGTAATTTTTGTTAAACTGTAACCATTGACTTTGTTTTGAAGAAGACCTTGGAAATTGTGTATGAAATCCTTAGGCTATTTGCAATTTTTCTGTCCAGCGCTAGCTATCTTGCATTTTTAGTTTTCATTTTAATGATTTCTTTTGTAATTCCCTTCATTTATATATTGATGATGTACACATCGTGAACATTGCAAGATAGAGTAAAAATCTATGCTTTCTTCCTAAAATAGTCAATACTATTAATTTGTTTAAATGTTTTCATTTAGATATACACACTCAAATGTTAAATATATTTCAAACCATTTAACTTTTTCAATATCCTGTTTTTAAACAAGTTGTTGTTTTTAACCCGTCATGCAAGTTTAGTATTATAAGATACACCTTAAGCAGAATAGATGTAACAAATGTAACCGAAACTCTAATCTTCCAGCACTTAAGAGAGTTGATGTTAATTTTCACTTGATATTTTTCTCATGTCATTTGTCATGTGTGATTAATTTTTAAATCAAGATAAGCAGACCTTTCCCTTGCTTAATTGTAAGCTTCTATACACTATTAAATTAAGATCCTCCACAAAGGAGGCATAAGATAGCAGAAGGCACTGGCACATCTCCTGTGTGATTTCTTGATTCAGCAAAAATAATTTTCTCATTGGTTCAAGATTCCTCACTGTCAAGAAAGAAGTAGGAGCACAGCCCTTCCTTTAATTTTCTTGTCTCCACAACTGAAAAAATTGAAACATCCCTTTCCGAACATCAGAACACGAAATGATCTTGTTAAAGATCTTGATGAGGATTAGATGACTTTTGCCATTGACTTTTTTGTTCTCATTGGTTTTCACGTTTGATTTGTGGAACTGTTTGTCTCCTCAAATTCCCAGCAATCATAAGGCTTGCATGTACAGCAAAAGTATGCTCTGAAGCCATATTCAGTATTGCCTGTGATGATACTTTTCTAAGTTCAGAGTCAGTCACAAGCTATGTCTACTTAACTGTTTTTGCATTTCTTCCCATTATCATTTATCAAGTTTCTGTTGCATTTTCTCAGATTGTTACAGCTTCTCATGATTGTTACAGTTTCTGTTGTGTAATGCTTGACGCTAAGTCTGTCTTAATAAATCCAACTGGATTAGAATGAGAATATTTACAACTGTTGAGAGTAGAGTCCTTGCACCTCAGTGTTTCAGGTTCAAGGCATACCTAAAAGATGCTTCTCTTCAGATTCATTGTAAACTGGGCTTTACTAATTTAATTGCTATACTTCACCTTGACTTTTGTGTCACCATCTCACAACACAGAACAAAAGCAGCTATCGTTTGTGTGGTCCAGTGTATTCTCTTCAAGAAGGAACTAATGTGTTAAGAAATGCACCTCTGTGCAATTTAAGCCTTTGACTAACTGTGTGAAAGGTACACACTAAGCACTACATAGAATGCATGAATAGCTTTTCATGTTCTGTAAGGTTAGGGTGTACTGCTTTTTGAGAAAGTTCTTTTCTAAATAATAGTACTGTAGTTTGATCAAGAAAAGCTCTTCTACATGTGTGATGAAAATAAGGTATCTTGACTTGATAGGTATGACTGAACAGCCTGTGCAGAAGCATGATAGAATAAATATCATAAAAGTATGATTGGATGGCTAGATATTTTCAAAATTATAATATTTTAATAAGAATCAAGAATTTTTTATTGTATATGAAACCAGAGTAAGTATTCAAACGCTACTAACATATCTGTATTTATGGTCTAATTTGAGTTATAAGGCACATCTGAAAAGCATCATAACTGCTTGAAGTTCTAGTATTTGCACTTGAATTCTCAATGAGCTATTTCATGTTTATTATCCCTCTTAGATTGGTTAGATTTGTACTGATGCGAGGATACAAGGCAACTTAAGTGAAGAGAAATGAGACACCTTACAAATGTAGGGAGTATAACCTGAACTCCAAGCAAATACAGTAGTGAGGAATGTCTTTCAAGGTTACAATAGCATTGAGGTTTTATTCTAATTTAGTTGATAAAGTTGGATCTCAATTCAAAATAGAGAAAAAAGTTATCAGACAAACAGTTCAGCAATCTGAGCTACATAACATGCAGTCAAGTAAAATAGATTGATATCAGCTGTAAGCTGCTAATAAGTCAAATTAATATTCCTGTGACAGATTGTCTGTAAAAAGAATTCGTGCTTTGAAATTTGCTTGTAAATAAATCACCATTTGCTGTTTTAAGCCCCTAGCTGTTAAGAAAAGAAAACCTAACTGGCCATTGACTGTGTTAAGTTGTATTCCAAAGGAACTAATAATGACATTTGCATGAGTATTGCTGTACTAGCAATTGCTGTAAATAAGCAGGTGATTATTTATGTTAATATTAATCTCTCAAAATTTTATTCCAGACCATTAATGTTTTACAATCATTGTGTATTTTTAAGAAGTAAATGAAATCTAACACACTTAGCAAGCTTTCTGATGCCAAGGAATCACCTGGAGTTATTTTAAAAAATATATACATATAAAAATTTTTTCTTAGTCTGTGCTTAAATCTCAAGAATATTCAACTTGATTTGGTTGATGTCATTTACTCTAGCACATAATTGTTCCACATGGTTTTTCTGTAATACCAGCTATAATTTTAAAAGTTCTTGATTAAAATGCAAAGAAACTGCAAGCAAAGAAATTGCTGTAAAATTGTTGTTTCAGTTTCTTTTAGAACATTTGTTATAGCAGGAACTATAAAATTAGAGTTGGTCTGAAGGTCAGTGTGTGCACCATGTGTTGAATCCAAGAATAGTCTTCTGATAGTATCAGCTGCTAGGTGGAATAAGGAGTTCTGTCTGAAGTGACAGATTTCTTCACTTGAATCAATACATGCTACAAGCTTAAATTTCTGACTGCCCAGAAAATACATTTTTCTTTGGGCATAGTGGATTCTAGATGGATTTACAGGTGTGAATGGATAAAACTGTTAGAGAAATCTAGTTTATCTGTTTCTGGCAGTAAGCTTCTGATAACTTTTCTGTAAGCTGAGGATGGTTTTCAACTTGGTGCTATTTCTGATGTTTCTTTTTTTGAATATTACCTAAAAACATTGTAAGACTTACGTGAGTGGTCTAAGGTAGAAAAATTTCTGTGATTGTTTTTTAATGCTTCACCTCTATTTTTGTGTTGAACACTTGTTGTGTATTTCCAGTCAGAGCAGAATATTTTTGTTCAGGGAAATATTCACTGAAAGTTACTGAAAATTACACAGGGATTATTGATTTATCACTATCAGAAATGCTGGAGATAATTATGTACAAAACTTCCCATTTATTTCTTCCAACTCTCAAAAGAGGTGACTGAATGGGTAGAATTCTTTTAATAAAAATGATGTTGCCTAAACTTAATCCACTACAGCTTTATTTTAGTAACATTCAAGTTTGAAAAAGAGAGTACGTGGACTCATCCTACAGTTTAAACTAACAGTGTTTAAATAGCTTTTAGCCAAAATTCATTGGTCACCTTTGGAAACGTGGCTGGAGATTTCACTTATATGGTGAGCATGTTCTAACTTACTGGGGAGAGAGTGGTTTAAAACAAAAGTAGAATTACAAAATGGATCGTATTGGTCTGAAGAAAAATGAGATTTTAAGGAAAAAAAAAAGAACCAATTAAGAGCTTTAAATAAATAAAGATCAGCTTTTTACTGTATTACTTATTTTTAAGCCTTTTGATGTGAAGAAGTAATTTGGTACTTCCCACACAATGGAAATTAGAACATGGATGAAAGCTGGCTGGATGAAATTCACTCAGATAAGACTGAAATTAAATTTACTCATGGTTTTGGATTTATTTTTTGCTAATGTGTCTTTTATTTTGAATTCCTAATTAGCATGGTGGGCCAGCCACTTATTTTTAAGATTTTTTTCAATCAAGGTCACTTGCTACAGTCACTAATATCTTTTTTCATGCCTGAATAAGATTTTGTTGTATGTGTAGCTGTTTTCTGATGGAGCTAAGGTAGGTTGCAGCAATACATTTAATCAGGATCTCATTTTGGACACACATTGATTCTCTGCTTGATGATTTTTCACAAGTGGCTGAAATTTAGGCTCATGGCTTTGCATATTAAATCAGCCACTGTGTATATCCTCATGAGGGAGGTGTGGGTGTGTGCAGAGTTGCTTGTTAAGTTGGAATTGACTCCACTTTTCTGAGTAAAGAGGAAGATTGTGGAAGCAGAAAATTACCAGTCTGTGTCTCTTAGTGTTTGCTGGCTTATCGTATCCCACATTTGGGAATCTTGACAATATTCTTGAGCCTTTTTTGTAAAAATACTGTGGTGTTCACTGGTAGGTTACTCAGCACTGCCACACCACTCAGACGGATGGGGGAAAATGTATGATGGAAAGCAGCTCATGGGCAGAGATAAGGGCAGGGAGATCACTCACCAATTACTGTCATGGGAAAAATGGACTCACTGTAGGGAGACTAATGTAATTCATTGCTTATTGATAATAGACTAGAACACTGAGAAGCATCTTCCACTCATTCTCCCTCCCCTACCTCCTTCCCCAAGCAGTGAAGGGGAGTGCGGACTGCTGTCAGTCCGTAACACTTTGTCTTGCTTCTCCACAATCACTCTTTGCCCTTGTTCCATGCAGGCTCCCTCCCATGGGATGCTGCCCTTCCCCAACTGATCCCATGTGGGCTTCCCCCAGGCTACAGCTCTCCCAGCACTCCCCCAACACAGCTCTGAAGCTCTCCTTTCCCACTGTGGGCTGTTCTCTTTGGCTGTAGCTCTGGCCTGGGCTGCTTCTGGGAGATATCCGTGGTCTGAGACCTTCAGGCCTCATCCACTACTGTATGGCAGACTACAAGAACCACTCCTATCTATGAAAGCAGTATTTTCTCAGTGTTCTTAATATTCACATGAACTGACAGGCAGATTAAAAAGTACACCTCCCCTGAATGCGAGGTGGAAGTGTTGATACAAAGGTTACATCAGAGATTGTGGTGGATATGTTAGAGGAGCTCACTACTAAAACTGAAAGCTGTGTTGAAGTACTTCATGAGCATTAATTGAATTTGCATTACTCAAATAATTATGGATCTGAAAGAATGTTGGCTAAGTAGAAAAGAGCAATACAAATACAGTGCTCTCTATGCTAATATTCTGTTCTTTTTCACTGAAAAGGCATCTAGCTGTTTTGTGCTATTGATTTTGCAGATAGTGGATGCTGATGTTTAGCACTGGAGCTTAACCTACTGGGCTTGCTTAGCTTGTTGTTCTGTAAACAGTGTATTTATTACTATTGGGGGGAAAAAAAGGAAAAGAGATGAAGCTCCTGGTTTCTGTTCAGTGCTTCACATTGATACTTTAAGTTCTGGGTTCTTTTTGTGCTGTTGTAAAAACCTTTACTTATTTTCTCTATTTCCATTTGTACTTTAGACTTAGCATGGTTCATTTCTTGTGTAAAATGATGCTGCTTTTAGGTATTGATTCAGTTGTCCTAAATCTTCGAATGTATGCTATTTTACCTATATTGCTTTTTTGTTTGTTTTTAATACAGGAAAGACAATTAAAAATATTGCTTGATGATTATGCCAAAGCAATAATTTTATTCCTAATGCGAGGGAAGAAATTGTGTGATTCAAGAAAAAGTCAAGGTTATATTTATTGGGCTAATATTGGCAAACCACTGTATTCAACAGAATTTGAAATTATTAAATTAATAATTATTCTTGAATATGAATTGAAATGATTTTTAAAAATAAAAATAGTAACTTTTCCTTTCATTTTTGTAGGTTGATGACATTGGATTTTCTTTGAATCATCCTAATCAGTATTTTGCAGAAAGTCAAAGGATATTAAGTGGTGGTAGAGAAGTGAAGAAGGAACCGAATCATTTGGGAAACTCTCAACAAAAAATTAATAGTCAGGAAAGCATGAATTCAAATTCTACTCCCACCACTTCAAATATGACTACTGATGCAGAGCTGGAGGGACTGGAGGCATACTTCACTGAAGACTAAGCAACTATGGTAGCTTTTTTCTCTTTCTACTCTAACTAAATTCATCCTTTTACTAAGGAACATGCACTTCACTACCTAGAAGTCACAAGCATTTAGCAATTAGAGTTGGCTGATGGAAAAGAAAGAAGGATACTGAAGCTGTAATCACATGCAGCGCTTATTGTTGTTGCTGTAGGATGCTATTGCATAGGGCATCTTGAAGGATGGGAAATGGAAATTCCTTCCCGTTTCTTAGGTGACTTTTGCCTGACTTGCCTTTTTTGATTTTTGTTTAAGATGTATAATTATTTTATCCTATTTTGTGGTCATTTTTGTATATTATTAATAAATAAATTGCAAGATAAAAAATTGCAGTGTTTTATTTTTACCTGTCTTTATATGGTAATTAAGTGGGACTTCTTCCTTATGATCTTAACTGCCTTCTGAAGGAGTGAACATGTTTTCTACATGAGGAGCTGAAGGAAATCGGCTTCCTAATTTGTGTACCTCAGCACTGAATTTCAAAAGCCTGTTAATAGTGCTTGAGGTAGAACCTAGCTAGGGTGTGCATGTAACCTGTGTAGTTGTATTATGCTAGAGGTTTTATTCTTTGCAACAGCTGACTGATTCAAACTATTAATGGTGTAGTTGGAATTTTTCTTTTATCACTATGAAGATTTTGGACAAACCTTCAGTCTTTGCTTCTTGTATGTTATGTGTTCACTTAAACGTGTGTAACTTGCACATACCTAGTGCAACGCTGGGTGTTAGAAGAAAATGTATCTTTTGTTGTTAGAAGAGGATTGGCTAGTAAGGTTCATTGTTCCTTAAATTATTCCTATTTTAATTAATGACTGCTCTGTGTAAACTACCAGAATCTTACTCCTTGAATACTGTATATTCAAAGGAGTTGTAGAAATCCATCCTGAAAAAAGCTGCACTCCAGATACTGAAGATTGAAGCAGCAAGGAGTTACAGACAGTGATGCTGGTGAAGCACCAGACTTATGCGTAGGACTGTTGGACTCCATTGATGGTGAAGGATTCTATGGAATCCATAGATGATGGGAAGATTTTCACCTGAAGGTTTTGAAGTGCGTTTGTAAGTGGTGACAGTGCTCTAATTTTGAATTTATTCTGCCCTAACTCTCCTAAATGATGACATTGTCACTTTAATCACATTGCAATTAAAATTCTTAGCACTTTCTTTACCTTTACCCTGAAATCTGTTATGTTGGGAATGGGGGCTCCCTGTTTATATATCTTCATTGATTGTTACATTAGTAGAATACAATTATTTTTAGGAATTCAAACATAGAATTTAAAATAGGTCTTTGTTACAGGGAAGAATATAACCTCACTTATCCTCTGTTAAGTGGATAAATCTTAATCTGGAATGCAGTTAACATAACATTATTTGACAAAGCCTGTGTCCTTCTAGTTTTCACCACTGCTGGTTTATGTCTCAGTTTAAATGCCTTTTAACTGTATTTTCTTCCCTTTTGTTAACTGCCAGGTGAATTGTTTAAAAAAAAAAAAAGGAATAGCAATATAGCAATACATACAAATTAGTGCATACAGTTAGAAGTAGCTTACAAAATATAATTAGTGTTTTTCTTTTTTGTGCTATTCAAAGACAATTGAAGGCAATTTATTTTCAAATTTTTTACCATCTTGAGTTTGAAAGCAGAATATTTTAAATTTGGTTATTGGTAAAAACCCAAAATGGGAATCTTCCCGCTCAGCAGCTGGACACTGAGGAGTTATTTGTCTTCCAGAGCTTTTGAAAACTTACTGCTGTGTAATTTAAATAAGAATCACTTGTTCCTTGATTGTAGAGCTGTTTGAGATTGGAAAGGCAAAATCAGTAAGAATATGTAAATCAGTCATTTAGAAAAGCTTTTTTCCTGCATTGTTGTAATGCTGTTTCAAAATTACATCTAGTTAGAAGACAAGGATTCTTTGAAAACCAACCGAGTCTGATATGATCATGCAGTAGTCAAGAAAGAAGTACAAAGGAAACAAACTCTACTCTTTTACAGCTTGACAAGAACATGTATTTCTAAAGTAAAAGGCTGCAGATCTGTTTGCAAACATGTGCTCTCTTAGCTCTCCTACCAAGTGGCTCTCTAAACTTCTGTTATATTTTGCGTCTTCAAGAAGCTCGAACTTTGACAGTGTGAAACTGTTCTCAATGAGACACTTGTGTATTTTGTGTCAGTAAAGATGATGTTAAGAGAACATGTGGTTGCATTTTTGAGAGGATGTATGCAACTGTCACTGGAAGACTGCTCTGTACAGCCATGATGTTCATGTGGAAAGTGCTCCTCTTTACAACATATGGTCTTAAATGTACCATAATTAAATGTGGAGAATTTTTCAAAAGGAACATAGCTTGTTCTTTTGCATGCTTGTTTGCTAAGATTTGTTTAAATCCCTTAAATGCTGGAGGATTTAGGGCATTTGAATTGGACAGAGGTTGTGATCAGTGGGTGCAATTCAGTCCCCCAAGGAACGTGAACTTGTATGTATGAAGGTAAATCAAGTGGAATACAGGAATAGAAATGCTTGGAATAACTTCAAGAGTGAATTGTAGCTGGGAAATAAGCACATAGATGGGTAAGCACTGACTTGTTAAGAGAGAGGAAATATTGGAAGACTTCAGAAGTGGTTTTAGGGTAGATAAAATGTAGATGTATGCTGACACAACCTCCCTATCTCCAGCTATTGATCTGTCATCTGTTGAGGGAGAGCAGGACTTGGCGGTCCGGCTGCAGCCAGCAGGAACATGTATGAACTCTTTATATCCCTTAAAGCAAAAATGATAGGCACAGTGAAAATGTCATGGGATTCTGGTTCTAGCTGAAACAAAAAGACTCGGGCAAGTTGAAGTTGCTTTGTCATGTAGTTGTGAACTTCAATTAAGAAAGGGAAAATGGGATCATGAAATAGGCATTAATATAGGAGAGATAAATATGACAACCTTGCTATTTAATTATCTTTTAGAGGAACATTATGCTCTACTAAAGATCAGAGCTGTATAGTGGAAGGTGTTCTACAAGCAGAAGAAAATCTTTGCAATGTGTAACTCTAGCACTTAATGAACTGGTAAGAATCAGGCTGGGTCAGTTCAGGAGGAGTGCCTTTGCTCCACCTGAACTGGTCAAATTGGTGCATGAGCTGCTGGATGAAGTGTAATGATCTGTGTTGCTGTACTCATCAAAGTAGACGCTCCAGATGGCCTTTTTGGACTTTAAAGCCTGTGATGCTGGGATTTATTTTAATGTTTAAGAAGAAGCAAATCCTGAAAGCTGCAGAGCATCCTTGGTTCAGCTCTGATGTGTTGGACAGTAGGCAGAAGCCAGCAAAGCATGGCGTGGCTGCAGTGTGAGTCTTTGCAGTGTCAGTGCTTTTAGGGGAAAAATATGAGAAAAGCTGCTGAATAGCATACATTCTACTCTGATCTCTGCCTTTAGAAAATAAATAAAAATATGCTGCCTATAAAGTTCTTCATGTCCTATAGGCTATATTTGCTGTTGCTACAGGGTTTTGAATGGAAGAGAATCCTTGTTGCTATGACTGAAGTGGTTCTTAGACTGTTCTTCTCTTACCTCTAGAGGCTGAATGTAGTAGTTTTGCCTACAGCTGAGTACATTTTTCTCTTTATTATGATGCCCCAATTGGTAATTATAATACTGTGCTTTTCAAGATCTGGCATTAACAGAAGTGTAATTTTTGACAGTTGAAAGAACTTTTCATTTGGATTTAGATCATGACCTTGCTGCTTAGAATTTATCACAATGCTGGCACATCAGGGATAACGAATATGCAAACATCTGAGTCAACATACACATAGGACAAGGAAGTTGCATGAGTATGTGCTTCAAATCAGTAGGATTTGTAATACAAGTTGAATAATGTGTAATATAGTAGAATATGTCAGTAACGCAGATATGTTTTGCTGAATGTAAATATATATTAGGGTGTGCAGTATAACTGTGGAATCATTACTCCTCTCTCTACTTCTATTCATTTTGTTTAGAAGTGATCCTTGAAAAAATATTTTTCACCTTTTTAACATTCAATTAAAGAGAATTAAAATTTTGTACTGTAAACATTTCAAATATATACTGGAAAAATGCATTTAAATGTCCTTTTAAAATAGATCACTCATTTTTTTGGGGGGTGGATATTCCATTACTTCCTTACTTTGGCTTAAACTGATTTTCATGAGGTATATAAAGCCCTCTCCCTTAACCTTAAGATTTTGTGACGGAATTAAGAAATGCTGTTTTATTTTCTTTCCAAGCACCAATTAGAATACAGTCCCCACACAATAAGCATTTTAAAGAGCTCCAGAACTGTTGTAGACTGTATTAATTTAACTCCTCTCTTTGCCATCCTCCCCCAGCTGAAATGATGAGTGCATATAGATGAAAAAATGTCTAAGCAAAATTCATTCTAAGCACAAGCAGTCAGCTTTCTGGAGTTGTTTCCCTGTTTCACCTGGGCAGCCTCATGACAGTATGTTTATACCTGTTCTAGTTGCAGAGTTTTGCTTTTGATCTCCAAATTGTTTTCCAGCTTATGTAAATAAGTCTTTGGAGGGAAAAGCAAACCAACCTTGCTATCCACAGCAGAAATGTCCGCAGTACAATACTCAGCTGGCCTAGCTGCTTCCAGGCTGAAGGACACATATAATCTGAAATATAGCCATCAAACAGGCATATCCAAATTGGTTATTAAGAAGATCTGATGGGACAGTGATGTGGAAGGGTCCTTTCTCAGCTCCTAGCACTTATTGCACTGGATTGCTGCAGAGCAAAGAGCCCATTGCTTCCTGGAGGTAGCTGAAAATTGTTCTAAGCAGTGACTCTTGCTTAGGATGCTTTACTAGAGTTCTGAGAGGGTAAAATCATCTCTGTACACCATATAGATGTATGTCAGCTGTAAATGGTTCTGCTTGATAAATAGTTTTTTATGACTGAAAAACATAGCTGTAGTGGTAACAGGCCTGTGTTATTTTTTGCAAGTGATGTTCTTGCTGTGTGATTGACTTAGTCTATGCCAGATTCAATATTTATTAAACTGCCCATTGTGCAGAATTTAAAAGACGTTAAAGCATTTTCTCAGGGATTGCTTCTCAAATCTCTGCAGTAAATGCAGCAGCTGAAGCTCTTGGTTCAGAGCCAGGTTTCCAAAAGGCTTGGGGTTGGTTGTACCTTTGGATATACAACAAACTCTAGTCATGCTTTCTTTTTTTTTTCTTATTAGAAATCATTGCTTTTTCAAAAATCTTATTTTCACCCTTCATCTGTAGTGGTTGAGTATTTCTAGGCAGTGATTTATTTTTTTTTTAATCACATTTTAATTATTT